TTCCCTACTTAAATGATTGAATTATACATATAAGTAGCCTCCTAGACTGGAAGCATAGCTTAATTGGTACATAACACTTTGAGAAGTTATAGAATGGGTCCTCCATCCTTTATTATTAGGAAGTACAAGCTGTTTGAATTGATATTAAAGATGATCCTATTTCTCAAGTAAAAGCTAAGAACAAATCTCTGCGTTAAAATAAGGCTTTTAAGGACAGGCTTCAAAAAACCCACAAATCACTGGTAATTAAAGAAAGATTGCCAGATAAAAGGTGAAAATGGGAAAATAGGTGAAAAAATGTCATATTTAGTTTTTTTTTTTTAATTACTTGTGAAAACGAGTAATTTGCTTGAAGGATGCAAAATCCCCATGAAGCCAGTTATCAGCAAGAATTTTAACAGATAATAAGAGCTTTCATAATTGCCAAAACATGGCATGCAGGTGAACTAATTCTACCAATGTTACCAATTATTACCAATAATTCAACTAATATTAGAATTTGATTGAATCCAATTTAAGAATTTTAAAATTTATAAATCCTTGTAATTATTATCTGGTTTCTATGCTTTTATCATTTTGATTTTTTGTTGGTTAGAAGTTGACATTATTTCCAAGGAAACTTTGGTAGATGAGAGAAATCTGCAATTTTCTAGCAATGTACTCTAGTATTTTCCATATAGCACATATGAATAACTGGAGTGGATGGAGCCTAGGAAGACACAGAAATCCTATAAATCTAGGGCATTTTCAGATAGCTGTGTGCCATTTATTGATAGTTCTTATAACACCTTAGCAGGCCCTTCTGTAAAGTGGCTTATATTGCTTCACAATGAACATTAACACTGTATTATATCTGGCCCTACAACTTAGCTCAGTTAAAGAAAAGATCTGCATATCAACAAGGACAAAACTGCCATACAGTTTTATAGCTGAACCAAAAGCATAGAAGATTTCACCCCTTCTGCCCAACCAACGTATGCAAATGTGACTCATGTGAATTTCATACTTTAAGTCTGGACAAAATACATAGATTATTTCTGCAAGCTAATACTCCATTAATTGATCGGGCTAATATTCCATTAGTTATTTGCTGGTTTATTTTATTATTTTAATCATATATATTTCACTCATCACCCAGAAAGACAGAATAAAGTTCATAAACAAAACAATCCTTGCTTTTCCATGCTTACAATTTAAAAAGACAAGGCAGAAAGAAAAGGGCTGGAGGGGGGAACAGAAAACATCATATGGCTTATAGAAATTGCCAATCTTTGCTGGAAAAAATGCTCACAATGTGTCTTCTAAAAGTTTTAACTGTTAAAGGTAATGTGTAAAAGTACATTGTCTGTCTGTTTTTGAAAATGATATAAATGAAAAGAAAAAGAAGCCAGCATTTTTTAAAGTCATCATCAAAACTTGAATAACTGATTTAACAATGGAAAATATATTTTTTTTTAGGATTTTGACTTTTAAATTCTTTGGAGTCCACCAAATATTCAACCATTCCCTTCAGAAATCATAGTATAACAGCTGAAATTCTGTACTCATTTATGTACAAGTAGACACAACTGAATTCAACAGCACTTCATTCCATTGCAGGATCATATCATTGTGACTTAACAAAGAAGGGTTGAATTCTTAAGATTCATTCATGATTGGCAATGTTGGTAATTGTTGCATCATGCATCCTATATTTTTAAAAAATACAGCAATCAAATCTAGAGGGTTTTTTTCTTTTAAGTTAAGGACATGAGTTGTGAATTAAGAACTCTTCACGTTCTGACAAAGATGTTCATGTGATAGAGTGAACAATTATAGCACTTCGGAACAAGATAATGGCACACAGCAGGTAGCCTGTTTAATGGTGTCTCCTGAGGTCCTCAAGGAAGGCTGAAATAGCGAAACAACTTTTTGATACGGTTTGGATATATAGATACAGGTTGTGGTCATGATTGGCCTCTATTTTTGTTGAGGATATAAGAGAAAAATAATGTCTCTTATTATAAAACAGCCTTATAATAATGTTTGTGGTTGAAGATATTATTGCTTGTCCAGTAATTCCCTGAAAAGGGTAGAAAAAATGTACATATCTTTTTAAGGTATTTATGTTCAGCTGGAAAATATACACATACTCAGAATGTCCCTGTGGAGGCAATGGGATTTCAAGCTGAAAACTTTCATCTGAATTAAATACAAGATGTGAATATGGAGCACGAGACTATGGAAGAACTCCCTCACTGCTTTACAATAGAGATAGGTTCATTTCCATCACAGTCTGTGAAAATACTTGAAATTATTATAGAAAAAAAATCAAAATTAAGAGACTTTTCTAGCTGAGTCATTCAAATACGATGGGCAAAGACTGAATTCAAAGAATAAAAGCTTTATCAGAAATGCTGTTGGGCTTTAGACACTTTCCAGAAACTGCATGTTCCAATCTTCATAATTTGAGGGCCATGTAAATTACAGAATATATTGATATAAACAGCTAGAAGTGACCACACTTGGACACAATATCTATATATATTTTTGAGCAAAGAAGGGAAGGCAGTTTTCTTCATTAACAGTTATGCTAGGGCTTAAGGTGTTGCTGGCAGTAAGATAGCATGCAAGTTGAGCAGTGAAATCAGCCAAGTTATTAATCAAGTCAGTTTGGGAAAATATTATTTTTGCCTGCTTTAGTTTACTTACCAGATCAAAGATTATGCAGAGGTGATGTGAATTAAAAGCCATCCCTCTCTCTCACATACATCCTTTTTAGGACTATTTCTTTTTAATAAGGAAATTATGCATAATGTTATCACAGAAAACAAGTTGATACTTTTTATTGCACTACAGATCGAGTCACATGGATTTAATATTTCAATATTGATGGACATTTCCTTTTCTAGCAGTAAGGGACTTGAGTGTATAACTAGTTGCCTGACAGAGTGAATTAGTATGTCATTTGTTAAAACAGTGATGACATACTCTTTGTTATTTCTGTATAACATTTAGTGTTATGTGTTAGGATTTCATTTCTTATGAAAAAATAACCAATAGCAAAAAATATAAAAGAAGTTTCAAATGATTATGAACCAAGCTCTTTAAACATGAGAAATTCACAAACTTGATTTTGATTAACAATCAACAGTTCTTTGCAGTTCTCTGGCATGCACAATCCCCACTAATCAATGTATAGCAACATTAGTTTTATTTGAGATAATTGAAGAACAATATATAGCGTAGTTGTTACATTTGGTATGGAGAGATGTGAATAACACTGCCACAAAACAGTTGAGGGATAATCCTGCTTTTCCTGCATAAGAGTAAAGCTCTGAATTGGGTTGTAGGCACATAGCCATCCCTCTATCAAGTTTTAAAAAATCTGCAGAGCTCTTTTTGACAGTGGGTTACTGAAAAATCTTTTATTATTATTAACTTCATTCTATGTCACAAGCCCAGCTTCACCAATATAAAATGATTGGATTATATATGACTGTTTTGATAGCAAGTGATCAAAAAGGAGAGACCTAATTCTGGAGAACTGGAAGCCTATTATATATAAAATGCAAATTGACTTGCTTTTTAAAAAAGCAAACAAAAATGCCAAGAAAAACACATTTTAAAACAAGTTGTATAATGTCCTTTAATTCTGATTTATTTATAACTATGTAAATATACAGGAATTTTAACACAAGCATTATTTAATATGCACAAAGTTTCGCATTTTCAGTTGATGGCAGAAAGTAGAGAGAAATGGATACATTGTTTGCTATTTTAAATATTGAACAACATATGGTTTTCTTGCAGCTTCTTTAGGATAAAATAGCTAGCAAAGTATTAGTACAAGAAAACACCCAACTGAGAATGAGAAATAAGTCGATGATAACATGCTGTTTCAGAATCGTGGAAAATCCTTATCTTGGTTTTAGTGTAAACAAACATGCTCTATTTTTGAATTTATTATACAAAACAACATTTTTGGAACATATGGCATTGATATGCTAACAATTATTTACCTTACATTTTGCAATTTAAAATGATTGTGTACTTATTTATAGTAGAATATGTAACTAGTAATCTTTTCATGTAATCAGAAAGTTATTAAAGCTGTGATAAGGCTTTGGCTAAACATGGTTTCAGAATGTTTGCACATTTCTACTGTATTTCTTCTTGTGTGGGAATATACAGAGTTTTATCCACCATTATATACATGATCTTTGACTTATAAGATAGGATTTTTCCTTGCTTTCACACCCACTCCTGCTGTAGCAGAGGTACAGGAGGAGGAGGAGGAGGAGGAGGAGAAATCCATTCTACTGGTGATTTCTATTTAGTTGGTGGGTAGCCAGGATCTCATAATTTCTTTTGCTAACTGCAGCAATATTTCTGCTTCTGAGGCTTTGTGTATTTCCCATGAGTGGCTTCCACCCAGATGGACTCCTATTTTGAGGGTACACAATAACATGTTTGGTCATCCCTAAGAAGGTGAGGACAACTTTTACCTCATTTACACTAATGCAATGGGCTGCTTCTGTCTGTGTAGTAAGTCAAGAAAGTTTGCATGGCGGAATCATGGGGAGGAATGGATCTCATAATAAGAAACAGTATCGGGTTCTTTTTAAAGGCAACTATTTATTTATTTATTTATTTATTGGGCAACTGTCAGACATTCTGCCTTGACAGAACTTCAATGTGTATTTACTGGACCATCATCTCATTCTTTCTCCAAAGGTTTGTGGAGCTTCCATTTAGGCACAGTGTAGCCCAGGCATGAAATGGACTTTGTAGTTGGAAAACATTCAGTAGATGCCATTTGTTGTCAGATGCCATCTGTGGTGAACAGAAAGGCCATATCTTGTCAGCCTCACTGGTCCATCTAGGTTGATAGCACAACATTATTTTGTCCAGCACTGTGTGTATGAATTGCAGAAAACCTTGCTTAAGGAAACTTTGGAGCCATTACCTTTGGTCCTCTGCTAGGGCCTAAAGAATAATTTCATTTTGCCAACACCACAGTGATGCAACAAAAAAATGTCTTATATTTACATTTGAAAGACTAGAGTTAATAGACAGGGACTGTAAGTTCATTAACAGAACAACAACAAAAAAAAATGTGCTACCAACTGAAAACAACAAATGACAAAAGGGCACTGTATCTGCACATTTGGTTTTTAATGCCTAGTCAGAGGTAAAATTTAGGGAGAACTCGAGTAATAGACCACCAGATGCTGCCACTATCAAAACGGATTAATTGTTCAGAAACAGCAGTTTAACCCTCTTTTTATATCTTTCTGTAAAAGCATACCCCCCCATGATATACAATGCTTTGTTTGTGTGTTATATAGTTAATTACATCTTCTAAAAACCAGTTTTAAAAGGAAATGAAATGTGTAATTACCCAGTGTTTCCATGGTAACAAAGTTTGTCCATGTGTTAAATGATTACAAAAAGTTCCCTGAATTTCATCCATTGTTAGAGGGAAGAAAAATCACCCAAATCATGGGAACATGTAAAAATTTGTGTGTGAGAGACAAAGTTATGCATCTTAGAAAAAGCAAAGCCAAGTTACATCCAGCAAACTAACTGTTATCTGTCTGAAGATCAGAAAGAGAGAGGGGAAATAAATTGGAAATTTCAGCCAGCTTTATTTGACCTCTCATTAGTGTATTAGGTCTTTCTGTCTGTCTGTGTCTGTCTCCCTTTCCTTCTCTTTCTCCTTTTCCTTCTCTTTGCTAAAATGTACTGGACTGGCTGGTACTAATTAGAAAGCAAATCAATAGAATCAAGCAAATAGAAGTTTCACTTTAACTGTTGGTCTGATCTCCTCAGCACACGGGGATCACAGCTAAGGGCAGGCCTCTCTTTGCTTCATAAGGTGTTGTCCTGGAAACCATTCGGATGCAGTCAATAATAGGGCAGATACTGAGACACAGAGTGCAGCCTGTACAACTGTCAGTAACAGTGGGCAGGTGGGTTTCTGGATCAAATTGTATAGCCTGGAAAGCAGAAATAAACAGCATTGATGTCACTCACAGAAAAGGTCAAAAACCACCCCATTTTTAGCATCTGCATTTCCTGTAGTTGAGGTGCTTGGAGAAATCTTTGTTTGGTACCGCATTGCAGCTACAGTAAGAGTTTCAGTGGCTAGGAAAATATATTTCCTTAAAAAAATATTTGAAATATCACAGCAAATTGGGTTCTGGTAGAAATCTCTTTCCTCCCTTTCGTTCTCATTCTCTTTCTTATGCACCCAGCGTAGTGCAAAATCAAGCTTCAGCATAAGTTGCACAACTTCCATAAAAATATGTGTGGCTTTGAAAAGTTAATCTTTCCCAGCATACTGATTTACTAGCATTATTACAGCACAAAAGCTCCACAGTGGTGTCCAGTTATGGTGGGGACAGTGGGAAAAGTCATTCCTCCCCTTTCCTCATTACTGCTGCTGTCATTATTTTACATGCATGATGTCTAAAGGCATCTGCAAAATAAGTAAGGGATGAGTTTCATTGATGAAAGGGCTGAGCTGTGCAAATCTGAAAGAGTTGCTTCAGAATGCGTGCGAGCAATGCAACAGGAAGGGGCCATGCAAACATGTGGGTGCAGAGACAGCCTGGAGCTGCTTCCTAGGCAGCCATGGGCATCTTGAAGAAGACACAGCTGCTTTAATGAGTGGAAAAAGTATTTTGCATGTGCTCCTGCACATGTTGAAGAATCTCTTTCAAAGGGTTTGTGTAGCCTATCTTTGTGTGTGTGTGTGCCTTTGAGTCAGTGTTGACTCCTGGCAACTGCCTGGGCAAGTCCCTGCAGTTTTCTTGGCAAGATTTCAGAAGTGGCTAGCCATTGCCTGCTTCCTAGGGCTGAAAGGGTGTGATTGACTAAGGTCACCCAGCTGGCTTTGTGCCAAGGCGGAACTAGAACTCACGATCTCCCGGTTTCTAGCCTGGTGCCTTAACCACTACACCAAACTGGCTCGCTGTGCAGCCTATTAGCCTCAAATCTAACTCTGCTCTTTGATGTATGTAACTCCACAAGCTGTAAACTGGAGCCAGTCTTACCACTAATGCATTTTCTTGAATAATATACATCTTTTCAAAGTACCTACTGGAAAACTCTTGAAAAATCTTTAATGTACACCTCAAGCCATGCCGTGTCATTTTTCATGGTTCTACTTCTATAAATCCAGAGACTGCAGTTGTTCAGGCAGTTTACTTTTTAAAAGGTTTAGTTACTTATGTATTTGTGTAGGCTGGGGGGATGCACTTCCCAAACGCAGTTTTTATTCTTCTTACAAGGGGTTGCAACTGCTCCGGTGGGCTAGTTGCCTAGTTTGCTCCAGACAAAGGTGAGGGGGCAAGTAGGGCATAGATCTTCCTTAAAGATGGAAGCTGTAATTTACAATGCATTCAGAAAGTATTCAGACCCCCTTCACTTTTTTCAATTTTGTTATGTTG